GATCACTATGAGTTTGAGGCCAGCCTGGGCTACAAAGTGAGCTCTAGGCCAGCCTGAACTGCATAGCGAGACCCTGTCTCAAAAAAAGACAAAAACAAAAACAAAAACAACAACAGAAAATACTTTCTTTTAGACTCCTATGTGCTCAGTGAGGGCAGGGACTGTCTGTGTCATTCATCACCGTGTACGACGAGCACCTAGCTCAGTGTTGGATACATGGCTGAGATGGGAAATAGATCACCTGATTAATCAATATGCTTTTCATAATTTAAGTAATTGAAAAGTTAGGCTTATTCTTTAAATAAGAAGCTGTGGTGAGGATGCAGCTCAGTGGTAGAGGTTTCAATACCTAGCATTACCAAAAATATTTTTTAAATAAGTGGATATTTATTTTAATATTCCTGTAGCTATTTATTGCTTATTAATCTTTTAACATTCAAGATCTCATTCAGACAATGTTCTGTGGTTTCAATGACTAGAAATGAGATATATGTGAAAATATCAATTCACTATCCTGTTTAAAATAAACATTTCTGCAGACTAGAAATACTTTTCACAAACAGGTTTCCCTAATAAGATGTTACAAGGTCTGTTCACTATTTGGCTACAACAAGCTCATAAATGAGGAGTGATTTCACAAAATTTCATAATGTCAAACATATGAAATTGTCATATATGCAACATATCTGTAAAAATGCAGTTTGTAGGAAGTTCTAGGCATAAAGGGAACTTAATTTTAATACCTGTGATCTGAAATATAATAAATAAATAAATAAATATATTATATTTTTAATAGGTAATTTTAATCCACATTGCAATGTAAATAAATATAAATATTTATTCCTTCTTGACATTTTTAGTGTGCCTTTGTTGTACATAACTTTAGATGTCCTTATTTACATATTTTCAAAATTTGAGACAAAAGATATAAGGGATTTAATGCAGTTTACAAATATTTCTTGGTAAAAATTCTCCCTTTTTTCTACATTAATTGGGTCCCTAGAGCCAGTAGACATGGCCATTAGATAGAAGAAAGGTCTCCAAAAGATTTTTGGGTAGAGATTGTGTGTGTGTGTGTGTGTGTGTGTGTGTGTAAACTGTGGCTTGGAGTCACTATAGAGTGCTTTGAGAATTTCTATGGCTAAACTTAGCTGCTGATGAAGATGCATCACAAAGGAATTCCTTATATTTTTCAGATATTTTCAACTATTCTTCCCACAAACCTAAATTAAGCCTGTGCCCATTAAAAATTATTTGACACATAATAATTGTACAGACTTATGGGGTACAATGTGATAATTTAGTACAGATACACAATAAGTAATGATCAAGTTGGGAAATTAACATTTCCTTGTGTTGAGGACCTTCAAAATTTCGCTTCTAGTTGTTCTGAGATAAATAATAAATTGCGAACTGTAGTTACCCTTCTGTGCTGCAGAAACACTAGAGAGTCTCATCTACTAACTGTATTTGATAGCCATCAGACAACTTCATCTATTCCCCTCCCCTTCCTGCACTGCAGGGACCTCTTTTCTATGCTCTATCTCTATGAGATTGACTTTAGCTTTCATATGTGGGTAAGAACATGTGGTATTTGTCTTTCTATGCCTGTCTTATCTCACTTAACATAACATCCTCTAGGCTCATCCATGTTGCTACAGGTGATAAGATTTCACTCTTTTTTATGGTGGAATAATAAATGCTCCACTGTGCACCTAAATGACATTTTGTTTATCCATTCATCTGTTGATGGACACTTTTGTTGATTTTGTATCTTGGCTATTGTGAATAAATGTTGCAATAAATATGAGAGTGCAAATACCTCTTTGCTGCATTGATTGGTTACCATTGGTTATGTACCTTCGAGTGGGATTGCTAGATCTTACAGTAGTTCTGTTTTTATTTTTCTGATGAATTTCTGTATTGATTTCCATATTGGCTGTACTAATTTATGTTCTTACCAACAGTGTATAAGAATTCCTCTTTCTCCATGTCTCTATCAGTACTTATTATTTTTTGTCTTTTTCGTGATATATCCTAACAGGTGTGAGGTGATATTTCATTGTGGTTTTGATTTGCAATTCCTTTATGATGTTGAGCAATTTTTTATATATTGTTGGACAGTTGTGTATCTTCTTTTAAGAGATGTCTATTTAGATCATTTGCTTAAGTTTTAATTTGATTATTCATTTTTATGTGGTTCAGTTGTTTGAGTGCCTTACATATTCTGGATAGTAACTCCTTTTTGAATAATTATCTCATGTTCTGCAGATTATCTCTTTACTCTGTTGAATTGCTGTGCAGAAAATGCTTAGTTTGATGTAATCCCATTTGTTTAGTTTTCCTTTCTGCTGACTGTGTTTTGGGGTTTTATCCAAAATAGTATTTGCCTAAACTGATATATAAAATGTGTCACCTTTGTTTTCTTCTAGTGGTTTCATAGTTTCAGTTCTTATCTGTGTATATTTGATCCATTTTGAGTTGTTACTGGTGTGAGGCAGGGATCTAGTTTCATTATTTTGCATATGCATATTGTTTCCTCTGAACATTTTTAAAAGAAACTTTCTCCAATGTATGTTCTGAACAACATTACTGAAAACCAGTAGGGCATATGTACGTAGACTAATTTCTGTGTTTTCTATTCTGTTCCATTGGTATATATGCTGATACCATGTTCTTTTGTTTACTATTATTTGCAATATGTTTCCAAGTAAGGTATTGTGATATCTCCAGCTTTGTTCTTTTTGCTCTGGGTTACTTGGGTTATTTAGTATCTTTTTCTTCAGAGGGAAGGTCCACATGAATTTTAGGACTTTTTTCTAGTTCCTAGTTTTTTTTCTAGTTTTAGGATTTTTTTCTAGTGAAGAATACCATAAATATATTGGTGGGAAATGCATTGAATATGTAGATTGCTTTGAGTAGTATAACAGTTTAACAATATTAACTATTCCAACCCATGAACATGGACTGTCTTTTCATTTTTCTATATGTCTTCAAATTCTTTTATCAGTGTTTGATAATTTTGAGTGTACATGCCTTTAACTTCCTTGTTTAAATTTACTCTTAGGTATTTTATTTTTATATGCATCATGAAAGGGACTCTAAAATTTATTTTTCAGCAAGTTCACTATTGGTATTTAGAAATACTACTAATTTTTGTATATTAATTATGTATCTTGCAACTTTACTAAATTTGTTTATTAGTTCTAACAGCTTTTTCATGAAGTTATAGTATTAGATTTTTCATGCCATCAGCTAATAGGGATAATTTGATTTCCTCCTTTCCAACATTGATGCTTTTTATTTCTGTTGCCTAATTATTCTGGTAAGATTTTCAGTATTATGTTGAATATGAAAGTGGTCATTTTTGTTCTGTTTCAAATCTTGGAGAAAACATTTTCAGCTTTTCTCCCATTCCACAGAATACTGGCTGTGAGTTTGTCATATGTAGCTTTTATTAGGTTAAAGTACATCCCTTCTATACAAAATTTGTTGAGAGTTTTTCTTAATACCAAGTTGAATTTAACAAATGCTTTTTCTATGACATTATGAAATATCTACTGAGATGATCATGTGGTTTTTGTCCTTCATTCTGTTAACATGATGCATTAATTTTCTTGGTTTGTACATGTTGAAATTTTTGCAAACCTACGACACAGATCACTTACCATTTTTGTCCTTTTGGATTTAGTTTGCTAGTATTTTGTTAAGAAGTTGTGCATCTGTGTTTATGGAATACTGGTCTATATTTTTCATTTTGTGTTCTTGTATGGTGTTGGTATCAGGGTGATGCTGGCCTTATAGAATGAGTTTGGAAGAACTCTTTCTTAGAAAAGAAATCTTTACCCCCTTGGGCTCAAGCTATTTTTCTTTAGAAAAGATCCATCATGTAAAAGTGTCACATAGTTACCTGGGCATTTTGTAATTTATCAAGGCAGGATGATTTAACCTATATGATGTCCTTCCATTGAACCCCCCAGTTTCTGCTACATTTACCCAATTTTTTATTTTTCTTATAAATTTTCTTATGCTTTTGAGGTGCTTCAACACTTATCCTCAACCAGTAAAATCTTAGTAACAAACTAAAAATGCCTCTTTCAAACAATATCAACACAAATAACTGTAAAACTTTTTATTTTACTAAGAATTTTAACACATTTTATACATGTGCTTACATATAGATGGATAAATAGACGGTAGGTAGATATGCAAGTGCAGTTACACCAAACTTAAAACATCTTTTGTTAAATGAGTCATTATTAAGTATATTAGAGACTTAAAAGATTTGCAGCTCTACTTTATTAATATGAACATTATGATAAATATTGCAACATGATTCTGGCTATGTTTTTACTTTTAAGTAGCACTGTAAAAAGGTATACTTTATAAAATATTAATATGTACTGGAAAATAAGTACCCTTATAATAAGTACCCTTATAATATACTTAATTTCACCAAGTTATAAATCGATAAAGTTAAACACTGAAAAATGTCCCCTTCCCTTATATTTCCCAATTTCTTTCTTAGTCTAATCAAACATATACAGTGCAATGAACTGACTTCACAACTTAAGTTAATCTATAATGAGTGTTTTAAAGAATTTATATTCAAATCCAGAGAAGAACAGTCCCAATGTGTCAATGAATTTCACCTTTAGAAGTAAATTGATCATGTCTTTCCATGCTATGTCTGCTTTAAGTCATAGAAGCTAGCTAAGGCTCTGAAGAACCTCCCATTCCAACACTGAACTCCAAGTATATGCTTTTTAAGATATATAATAACATAATTTCCCCTTCTAGCTAACATAGTTATACTACTGACTTCTATCACTTTACTGAAAAGAACAGTTAATGATTACTTATTTGATCAATCTTGCATGTCTTTATTTGTTTTCCTGAGAAACCACTTTGAAGATATCAATATGTAATACAACAACCATTGTTAATTTCCTACCACTTTGTCTGTAACTCTGTATTGCTTTTATTGTTCTTATGCTATTTTGTAAATGGATGTCTGTTTGTTAATATGTTTTCCTTCTTTTATTTTTAAAATAAATTTTTTAAGAAAGATATATAATTACAATCTTCAAAAGTATAAATTCAAAATTTTAATAGTATTATTTAATCCCATGCTAACTCTCGGTGTTTATAAGATGGCAAATTTTTATTAAGACTCATAAACCTTTACAAAGCGTCTCAGTCTGCACCAGGTCTTCTGCCTTGCTCATGTTTGACATAGAGCTGCACTTTCCGAGGTGGGAACCACAAAAGGAAAGGTCCTCATCCTCACACAGCACAGAGCTCCTCCCACAGGATCTCAAAAGGTCAAGACAGTTCGAATGCTGAAGGTGAAATTAGAGTTTTTAGTGATTTACTTCTATTTTTTTCAAATAAGGTAGTTTAAACAATCATTTCTGATGTTTTCAAAACATCAAGTCATCTATTCTTGGAAAACCCTGGAGACCTGACATCCTCATCCATTATTTTCTTGCTAAGCTTCCTGGTAAGGGTATTGAGCAGATTCTGGAAGTACTAGCACATACACAATGGGCTGATGGGGGAAAGGATATTCAGGCTGAGGACAAAGTGTGAATAAGGCCAAGGAGTTACAAATAGGAAGAGCTATGTAAAGTATTTAGCCTTCCTGTGTCCAAGAGATCAGAAAAATCCCACTTGATCCTGAAAGCTTAGAGGAGAAGATATAGTCAACTGTGTGCTAAATTTACCTAAGTAAATTACTAACTGAAGATAGGCTTCAATTCAGTAATGAGGGCTTTTGAAACCATGCTGAGGCATTGACATGGGAGTAACCCAAGCCTGGCAGCTGGGTGGAGGACAACACAGAAGCAGAACCCTTATCCAGCTCCTGTGCTAACACATCCAAAAGGGCCGTGGCCCACTGGATGGAGGCCCTGAGGGGTCCAGGAGAAGAAAAGGTTGCTGTGGACACAAGGGTGGCACCTATTGGCTTAGCATGAGTTTATCTGTGGTGGACAAGAGTAAGGAAGAAGTCAGATAGGGTGCTGTGGCTTCTAGTCCATAAGAGCAGAAACAGAGACAGTGTTTGCTGAGATGAGACTAGTGGTGAAGTGGGTGAAGTTGAGATAAGTGGGATATTCAAGCGGAACTATGCAGAAAGTAGATGGAAAAGTAAGGATTTACTTTTGTCACTTTGGAGTCACTGTATTAGGGTAAAATTAGAAGCATAATTTCTGAAACGATTTAATTAGAAGATAAATATTTTTCAAGTGGCCATATAAAGCTACTAAGCTTGCTTATCTGAATAAAAGAGTACTAGATGATTTTGACAGTTTTCCTGACAGAAGCCCATTGTTTACTTGCTTAAAAATAATTTGAATGTATGTTCATAACACCATGATTCAGAGGCTATCCCAGATTTAGAAAGCAGACACAACATTGAAAACAGCACTTAGGAAAAGTTAGTGAAAGTTTAGATCTTGGGTAAACATACAGTTCTTCTTACTAATAGTGTATAATCTAAAGCCTTGAGACATACATCATATGTGTTCAGTAAATATTTATATACCCAATAAATGAAATCTTTTTGCATTTTATAGACAGGCTTCTTGGCTGCTGTCCAGGCATCCATTGGCAGAGGTAGTTAATACTTGTGTCAGTTCTTATATTCTACCTTTGTCCCTGCTGGACCCTCAGAGGCTACCCTAGTGTCAGAAGAGAAGAATGCATGTGTACCTGGAGCTTGCTGAGCTCTGTAAAGAAGTGGTGAACAGGACACACACTTTGCAGTTAGTCTGTGCCCTCCACGAGGCCAGCCACTGTTGCTGTTATTTTATCTCTCCTAACCTTAGTAAGAATGGTAATCATGGTAAGAACAACAGCTCAGTGGCACAGCACCTGCCTAGTAAGCACAAGGTCCTGAGTTCAATTTCTGGTACCCATAAATAAATAAATAAATAAATAAATACTAGATTTTAAATATTCCCTTGGGGAAGACACTAGATCACCAAAAAAGTTGATACCTTTGTCCTGAATACAGCAGTTCAAATCCTTCACTGATTTTGTTAAAAGGTAAAACATGTGTTATCAACTGGTCCAGGTCAAATTTCTTTGCCAGGAAATCAGTCACTAGTTTGGGTACATCGTCTCTGCTTTTCCAACCTATAAAAAAGCACACATTTCCCCTTTGTTCTTTACTAAATTATCTTTGTGTTTTACTATTTTATATTTGTGCCTTCTCTCCCTGTACTTCCCCCTCACATTTGGTCATCTCCAGCATCATGAAATGAGCTTTATTTCTCTCATTTTAGAAACAATGGCTGGAAACCCTTTCTTGATCCTTCCGTGTTCCTCAGCCTCCCCACATGTCCTTTGCCTTACAAGTAAACTACAGGAACAGCTGTCTCCCACACACTGTTCCTGGTTCCACCCCTTTCCTTCCCTCTCTCTGGATCCCACTTGGATCCACTTCCTGGACACTGATGCCACAGCTCTTGCCTTGGTCACCTGATCTCCACTTGACACCTCCATTTGAGGTCCACGCTGAATCCCAGACTGATATGATTCACAAAGTGGATCTGATACAGCTGGTGGCTTTCTGTTTTTCTCTCTGCTCATGTGGCTTCTGGTTGCCACATTGTCGTAGAATAAGGACATTTTTTCTGAGTCCTTTATACCTCCTAGGTCTCTAACTCTAATGGGTCCCAGGGCTTGGTCCTCAGATCTTTTCTTCTCTTTGTCTATGTTTACTCCCAGGATATTTCCCTCTGACCTTATGGTTTTAAAACACATTGCACTTAAAATCCTTTGCTAATGCCTCCAGCCTAGACCTCGACCTGGGCTGCAGATTCATACTTCCAGCCTTCATCTGGCACCTCTCTTCAGATGTCTGACAGGAATGCAAACTTGATCCACCCCAAGCTACTTTACTCTACTCCACTCCAACCTGTCCCTCCCATGGTTTCCACTCTAGTAAGTGACAGTGTCTCCATCATTCCTTCTGCTCAGGCTCTAAGCCTCGGATACTGTTCTTCCTGTCACACAGTATAGTGAATAAAATGCAGTGAGTCAGCAAGTCCTGGTGGCTGCATCTTCAAGTATATCTAGGATCTGACCATTTCCTGCCAGCATTTTCACTTGTCCAAGCCACCATCCTCTCCTTTCTGCATTATGATGATCCCTTAAGCATCCCCTACTTGTGCCCTTTGCACCTGGGGCAATATTTCCCACACAGCAATCTGAAGGAGAGCATGGAAAGGGAACTTGGGTGAGACGATGCTGTCCTCAAAGCCCCAGTGCTGTCCCGATTATTCTCTGGAGCCTGCTTTGTTCTGCCCTGCTGACCTCCTTCCAACTGCTCTCATTGCCAACATGCTCTGCACTTGGCTTTGCTCGCTCTCTGGAATATGCTTTCTCGGGATTTCTGAGTAGCTCAGTTCCTTTGTGTCCCTTACCTGGGAAGCCTTCTCTGAACATTGTAAAACAGCACGGCTCACCACGTTACCCTGTCCTCCACACTACCTATGGCCCTCACTCTGTGCTTCATGGTACTTTTCACCATAGGATGCCTCCTGCGTTTGCTTACTCATTGTGTCTTTGAACTGGAATGGGAGGTTCTCCCGTGGTCTGAGTGCAGAGCCTGGGCAAGCTCTGGGTCTGCTGTGCCTCAGCTCCTGGAAAGATCCCTGGTACTCAGTACACACCCAGTATTTGTTCAATAACTGAATTTTACAGCTTTTACCCTGAAGGGTCCATAATACACCTTGCCACACAGATAGTTAAAGAGAGGAGGCCCAGTGTATTGCTATTGACTTGTTTCTCAATCCAACTCTTGCTTCATCCAAGGAACTTCTTGAAGGAACCTCATCCATACCAGCCAGCCTCACACTGCAGTGCCCCAAAGAATATTGTAAGGAAAACCAGAAAAACCTCCCAGCAACCAATTCTAAGCAACTACTGTCAGGTAAGGAATTGTATGGGGCAAAGGGATTAGTGATTCCAAGTCCTACTTTTATTATTAATAAGTAATTACCTCAGTTACCAAAAGCAAAATAAACTAACACATTTGTGTAAAATTTTTGTTAACTTGCAAATGCTGAATAATTCCACATATAATTTGCTTTACATTTTTAACACATTTATTTTCTTTAATATTTGTTTTTGCATTTTGCACCGAATTGCATACTTGTCTAAGCAAAGAACAATTATTCTCCCTTTTACACTCTGAACAGTACTTGAGTGGTTGTTGCTCTCTTACATGGCAGATGACAGACTCTAATATTGGAAGAGCTCCCGAAGCACCCAGGGCAAGCGCACAAAGACACTGGACAATGGGAGGGCCAGAGGACCCTGTCACCATACGTGGCAAGGTGGCTCTGACCCCACCCATCCTTATTCCTTTCTATCATTCTGCTGTGAACCTGAACTGTCCCTACAGAATGTGACAATCTCTTTTTGATTGTAGATTTTGGCTTTCAGTCCAGATTTTTTGCTACTGCTATTGGAAATTTGATAAATTTTATTTTCAGACACATCCTGAAATGTGGAGAATAAGATCACATTCATCACCCCAATAGAAACAGTATTGGTGCCCCTTATTCAGGCCTTTGGGAAACTTCATTGCAGATGCAAATACCAAAAATGTGCCCGCCAATAATCCCCTAGATCAAAATGAGGAGTGGATAACGGTGGTCATGGTTCTACTTTAGATCATTTCATGCTCATTTTTTGGAAGGAAAAGTTTTTCTGCGATACTAGGGATTGAAACTTCACACTACAACTACATACCCACTACTTTTTTTTAAGACAGAGTCTTACTAAGTCACTAAGCCTGGGCTTGAATTTGCCAATCTCCTGCCTCAGCCTCTTACTGTTGCTGGGATTACTGATGTAAGCCACCATGTCCAGCTGAAGGAAGGTTTTTGAGCCAGATGTGATGATACAGTAGGCTGCTTTCATTTACCAAGCCAGAGAGGGAAACCCAGCACCCCCTTCCCAGGCTCTGCCGTCCTCACCTCCAAAGATACACCCTTTCCACGTGCGTCCAGTGAAGAGCAGCATGGGGTCATAGCTGAGCACCTTGGCTGACGGAGGAGCACCCACCACCACACTAGTCCCATAGTTCATGTGGCAGGATGCAAGGGCATCAACCTGAGTTTAAAATAAACAATAAAATTAGCTTCTTATGGCTCTTCTGAGATCTTACAGGACCAGAGATTGCCTAGGAACTATCACATAGGCACTGCAGTTGCCTCAGCTTCCAAGTCTAATATTAACTTAGGTCCACATCCTTTTTGTTTTCTACTTGCTTTTAAAAATCCTCAATGCAACTTTAGTCGTTCATCGCACTCCTGCACAGATCTGCCCTTTAAGGCACAGGGCAGTCATTAGCACATAATATTTCTAGTGTGCCAGGGATTAAAACACAGGGGAAATCTTCATGATTTTTGCATCAATATCAACACTTTGGATAAGTAATAAGTTATTTGAGGGGAACAAGATGAATCAGCATAGGTTTAAAATTTTAGTTTGAAAGTTAAAATATTAAAGTGTGAAACAAAGGAGTCTCTTAGCGGTATCTCTGAGGCTCGTCCCCATTTTCTGGTCATATGCCCATTCATTAAGTTACGTTTACATGCTTGCTAGAGTATAAGACAGATGTTGGTATATACTTCAGAGACCAATGTTCTTCAAAGTATCACAAAAATCAATAGTCCCTAATAACATACCCAAAGCTGCATATTGTTCAATGGCCCATATTCTGAGGGAATTTAGATAAAGGAAAATAGAGCTCAGGTGAAAGTGGTGAGAAAATGTGAGTCAATCATGGATTTTGGGGAAGTGACTGCAACATTTAGAATGGTGCTTTTCCACCCTGCATCTGCCCTTTCCTCAGCGAGTTAGCTTTGATGCTTGGATCACTTTTGCCAGGAACATCATATGTACAAGATTATGAACACTTAAGAACCCTGTACTGAGAGGTGCTTACTGCCTTGCCCTGTCAAGGAGAACGGCTGCTAAGGTTTCTACTTTTTAGGCAAAATTGTTATGTGGTTACCAGCTTTTGCCTGCCAAATAGTTAATTTCCATATTTAATTGTTAACAAAGCTATAGAACATGAGTTTAACCTTGCACATATCTCATAGCTTGGGTAAGTTTTGTGGCTCCCTGAATCTTGCCTCTTACCATGGTTTCAAGGCGCCCAATAACTTCAAAAGTGTAGCCCACATTGTTGCCTGTCATTTCGGACAGCACCTCACTGATGGGCTTGATGTAATCCTCTGGGCTGATGCACTCCGTGGCTCCCACGGCCAGGGCCTTCTCAAACTTGGCTTTGTTGAGGTCGATCCCAATGATCCTGGAGGCCCCTGCTGACTTGCAGCCCATGATAACCGATAGGCCGACTCCTCCCAGGCCGAAGACAGCACAAGTGGAACCAGGGGTGACCTGCAGAAAGAGAGGCTCTGACCCCATGTGAACAGTGGGGTCTAAAAGCAAAGCCTGCAAAGCACCTCCAGGGTCAGTATCACAAATTCACTGGATCACTATGACTGTGGCTGGAAAAAGCAGGACATCTGAGAAAAGGAGTTTCTGCCAGAACAAAAACAGTTTGTGCCAGATAAATGGAAGCCCTTGCTGAATGGTTACCCCATCCAGGCCTCTGCAGCCCTGGGCCTCAACCACAACCTCACCCATAGCCTCACCCACTTCACAGCAGGACTAGACAAGCACCAGGTTCTCTGGTCTCTTTCCCACTAGCCATGCTAAGTCTGTTTTAAGTTTGGACTGAATAACATACTGAGTAATCATGACTCTGAGTCATTTGTAAATAAACTGGTTTTCAAAAGAGTCCAGCTTCCAGGATACAATCAGATGATCTATGTATACCTCCAGAACAGAAATGTAATTAAACCAATTGGGTACTTTTTACCCAGTCTACCGGTACTAAAGAGGAGTCTAGCCAAAAGTCATCTTCTTGCGGAAGAACCTACCCCAATTTCATATGCAGCAGCAGGAAGAGCTTAACATAGGGAAACCAATGGATGGGTATGACCCTTGTTAATATGATAATTTTTTTCCGTTTTTTAAAATGCAAAGTGTTATTGGTAAGCTTGGCCTGTTGTCAGGCTTCCTGGCTTTCTGGCTCTGTCTTCCCTAGCAGGAATTACTTAAACAGGTGTGTGTGTGTGTGTGTGTGTGTGTGTGTGTGTGTGTGTGTGTGTGTGTTACAAATTCATGTCCTTTGACATGTATGTGAGTAGAGATTTCCAGACAAATGCAGAGGTTGGACCCATTCTCCCCCTTTTATTTCAGTGACAACACTCTCATCCTTCAATTCCTGAGTCTGGAGCTGATGAATCGAAGCAGTTACCTGAAATGTCATTTGGTCATTTATTGATCTATTCACACCATTGCAAGCTTCCTTAGGGTGAGTACATTACACCAGAAACTCAAATGGGAATTTCTTTCTTTCCCTCTTGTTTATTTGCTAGATCTATTGTTTAGATTTTAAGAGGAACTTTTTGACAGTTGAATTTTGAATTCTAGATTTAGCAGGAGTGTCAGCCCAGGACTGATAGTTTATGCTAGCAATGAGATTTATGATGTGTGCCTGTGTAGGCGTGCCTGGGGTGGTCTGAGATCTGATTAGCTGAGGTTAGTCACATGGGTATGAAGTATTCAGGGCTGACTCCCAGTAAAAAGGAGACTTTCTCATACCTTTATAATTTATAGGCTAATGGAGAAAATTAAAGATGCCATGAGAGTTTAAGACACGGGACACCACTATCAAAGAAGTAATTATGTTTTCTTGACTAATTAGAAGGGGTTGCTATTTGGAATAGACTAATGGAAAAAAAAAAACTTCTCTGAGAAAGCAAGTTATCTTTAGAGACATTAGGGAGCCGATCACCCAAGGGCAGGTGGCTGAGTATTCTGGATAATCTTAACTATCTTTTACACAGATGGCTCTGGCTTGTAAATGAAGAATTATTAGAAATAGTCAAGAAGACCCATGAGGAAAATAGTAGGAAGTCCTTCACATCCAGTGAGTCAGGTTGTGATGGTGGGGGTGAGTTGAAGAAAATGGAGAGATTTTAAATATACCTTGTAGGCAGAGGCAATGGGAGATGCTGTTAGATTGGACATAGGGCAAGGAACTGGTAAGGTCAGGGCAGAAAAGCCTGAAATGGCAGCAACTGTACTTCAGGCAAGAAGAAGACAAAAGTAGGAGTAAATTTGATTATGTTGTGTCAGAGGTATCATGAGACATCCAAATGGAGATACCAGGTAGGGAGTTAAAAAAGGAATTTGGTGCTCAGAGAAAATTTGAGAAAAATTTAGAATCAACTAAAACATTGATAATTTTTAAGACTTCAGCACTGGCTGAGACACCATGGTTTGGGAATTGCTTGCAGGGATGATTTTTTTCTTTATGAACTGTATATTATTTTACCTACATTTTACTCAGTTGGGTCCAAAACTTCACTCTTAGAACTTCATTGAAGCTTTCATCTTATATACCACCTGTTATGGCTTGAACTGATCCCCCATTCATATGTTGAAATATTAATCTCAGTGTCTCAGTGTCTGAACTTATTGGAAGAGGATCTTTGCAAAGGTAACCAAGCTCAAATGTAGGATTCAGGATATGGCCTGAAGTTCTCCATGGGGTCTGGTGGTGAGGCCTGGTCCCCAGTGTGGCACAGGAAGAGGTGGCAGAACCACTAGGGATGGGGTCTAGGGAGTAGGGTGTAATGAAATCACTAAGGTGCTGCCCCAGGAGGAATTGATGTGGTTCTTGGGACCTCAATCAGCTCTCTCACGAGAGGATTGGTACAAAGTAAGGCTGTCCCTTTGCCCACCCTCACCTGTGCACTGCCGCCCCTTCTCAATTATCTGCCACTGGGTGATGTGGCCATGGGCTTTCACCAGAGGCTTTCCACATGGGCTGCCTGACCTTGAATTCTCAGCCTCCAAAACTGTGAACTCACTAAACCTCTTTTCTTTATCAGTACTCAACCACATGTATTTTGTTGCAGCAACAGAAAACTGACTGATCCAGCCCTAATGCAATATGGACTAGTGTCTATGTATAAAGGGAAATGTGGCTATAAAGACACACTTTGGAGATGATGGCCATCCACCTATTAAGGAGAGAGGCCTGGAGCTTTCAGGAGATACAGAATCCAGAATCACTGTTGGCAGGGTAACCCTTCTTGAGTATTCCAAGAAATTCATTTTAAAAATAAATTAAGGAAGAAAGGGAAAGAAGGAAGGGAAGGAGGGAGGAAAGGAGCCTACTCTATTTCTTACCTTGCCTGTTTTAACAGCAGCCCCATATCCAGTAGAAAATCCACAACCAATCAAACAGACTTTCTCAGGAGGAGCTGCATCATCCACCTTAGCAACAGAAGACTCTTCCACCACTGTGAACTCAGTAAATGTGCTGGTGTTCATGAAGTGATAGACTGGTTTTCCCTTGCATGTAAACCTGGTAGTGCCATCGGACAGTAACCCATGACCAGCAATACTATGTGATACACCAAATACACATATTGGTTAATTCAACTAAATAAGAACACAAGAACAATTGAAATGACATTAGAGTAAAAATGACTGAAACCTACTCGCTCTTAATACAAAAATTGCCCTCTGGGTTACAGCAAGCATTGCATTCTCTGCACTGTGGCAGAAAGAGAGGGATGACTTTGTCGCCTAGAGGAAAAACATCACAATATAAAGTGCTGGTTCATTAAGAAATACACATGTGTGAATCAAGCCTATTCTACACACAAAGATATCATAAGAGTATTCCACAGTTTATAAGCATCATAAGGTTCACTTGCTAAATGTTGAGATTTTCCCAAAATGAGCATTACTGAGTCCCACCCATTCTCCTTGTGCCCTTTTATCTCCCTAAATTGGTCTAAGGCTCTCTCTAGTAACTCTTAACATGTGCTATTTCCTGTGATAGGATAACAAAGCCCACTTATTTCAGACTTTTGGCTTGATGTCTACATACCTGGCTTCACCGTAGTGACTCTTTCTCCAATGCTCTCTACAACTCCAGCTGCTTCGTGTCCCAGAATGACTGGAAACCTAGACACCATTGTTCCTTTTATTACATGGTCATCTGTGCGACAGATTCCTGTGGCCAAAATCTGTACTCAAAAAAGAACATTGCACCAACCAGAAAATTGTCCGTTTTAGGGTTGTCCATATTTAGCTTGCTATTGAAGAGATTATCATTTTTTATTCCATAGCATTGTCTGATACGATAATGTTGAAGTTACCAAGCCTAAAATCAACTAACAGACAAGATCCTCATCTTCAAGGGACTTATAATATTACAACCTCTGACTCTGCTGGGTGCCTTCTGTGGTCAGTTAGCACACCTGTGACGTACCCAGAATGCAGATGTCACCCCGGGAGGCTGATAGGAAAGTGTGCTTTGTAGCTAGGCCTCCTGCAGCTCTCTTAGTGCAGGTACCAGCAGCAGCATGCAAGAAAGTAAGCGAGGAGCAGAGTCCACTGGTGCAAACGTTCCAGCAACAGCAGAGAGTCAAAGACTGGCAGCAACATCTGCCCAACATGTGGCATCCAAACCCAAAGTCAGGCTTGGTGCAGAACTGCCTCTTCTCAAGCAAAAAGGAATTTCTCATTCTTTGTAAAAAGTAATCTTGATACAATCTGATTTTTACAGTATTTTAAAAGAAATCATTAGCCATGATTAGTAACCATTTTTAATCAAACATTTCATTAAAAATTCAACCAATGAACACTTTAATAAAGCAGAAAAGTGTGGCTTTTAAAAAAATAGATGATAAACTCATCAGTTTCACAGCCAGACGAATGTTTCCTTAATGTTATACAAGAAGTAATGGGAGAGCTAATGGCCAGAGTTTGGCAAACATCTCCTTATTTAAGAATTCAATCACTCAACAATAACTTTTTTTAATATAAATGTGATTGCAAAACAGGATTATATGCTTCAAGATCCTTTCTCACCTTAATGCGAACTTCTTTAGCCTTCGGTGGGGCAACTTCTATCTCTTCGATGGAGAAAGGTTTATTTGTTTCCCACAACACAGCTGCTTTGCACTTAATAACCTAAGAAATTGGCAAGTGTTATAGTGGGTCCTAATTATGTCTTCATAAATACAGACTTCTTGAATAGTATAAATAGGAACTAAGTATCACATATAACCTAATATTCCCAGAGTAATTTTCAGCACAGTCTAAGATATTAAGCTTTAGAAATCATTTTGTGTGCATCTTTGTCTGATACATGAGCTGTGCAGTGAGAGAGATAAAATGATTGACCCATGGTCACATGGTACACAGCTTGGGGCTGGTGAGCAGGGACAGCGGCTATGTTCCTGGATGGCAGGATCCATGTCTTTGTATCACTACATCCCATTTGGCATCTAGCCCACTTCTTTGCAGCTCGTGGGCCTTGATTTGTTCTGGACAAAATGAGTTATTCTTCATCTTACTTCTCAACTAATGAACATACCAAGGATGTTCCCTTAGCACTCCTTTGGGTGGTTAAATAACTCTTTTGCAAAGATATTAAATATAGGAAATGATAATTCTGGAAACAGAGGCAGCACAATGTTAAATTTAGAAAACTTATACCACATCCCAAACTATCTTCAGGTGGATTCATAGTTAAGATTTATTCTTAAGATCAATATTTTTAATATTTGTTTTTAAAATTTGCTTTCTGACTTTTCCAGTGAGGCTTATTCTTTCCCATGCTCTTGTGATTACATTTATCTTGCTTCCTCCTCTGACAGCAGGATTCCTTCAAGTTTCTTCTGTGATCCTGGATTAATAGTCATGAATTCCTTTAGCTCATGCTTAACTTGCAGCATCTTTCTCTTTCAATTTTAAAGGACAGGGGCTGGGGATTTAGCTGGGGCTGGGGATTTAGCTCAGCGGCAAAAGCGCCTGCCTGGCATGCGCAAGGCAGTGAGTTTGGTTCCCGGTACCAGAGAAAAACACACACACACACAAAAAAAAAAAAAAAAAAAAAAGGACAACATTGTCTGGATATAGGAATCTGGGGTGGCAGTCATCTTCTTTCAGGATATGAAATAGACTCAAGCACCTGCAGTCAATGATTCTTGACAGAAGTGTCAAAAACACACACTGATCATAGGATGGCCCTTAAATGGTACTGGGAAAACTCAACATTCACGTGTAGAAGACTAAAATGAGAGCATTATCTCTTTTTCTGTACAAAAAAATCATCTCAAAATGAATCAAAGGCCTTAATGTAAAACCTGAAACTTGGAAAATATTAAGGAAAATATACACTTTGAGATATAAGCATAAACAACTATTTCTTGAATAGGTCTCCAAAAGTTCGGGAAATAAGAGCAAGAATTGACAGATGAGATTGCATCAAACTGACAAGTTTCTAAACAACAGGAAAGAACCAAAAGAGTTAAGAGACAGCCTAAAGAGTGAAAGAGATCTTTGCCAGCTGTTAATCTGATAGAGGATTAATTTCCAAAACACATGAAGAACTCAAAAAAGTTATCAACAAAGGAACGGGTAATCTAATCAATAAATGGGCAAATGATGTGTACAGACAGTTCTCAAAAAAAGGACAAATGGTCAAGAAACATAAAAAATGCACAAATATTTAGCCATCAGGAAAATGCAAATCAAAAATACATCAGAGGGCTGGGGATTTAGCTCAGCGGCAAAAGCGCCTGCCTGGCAAGCACAAGGTTGTGAGTTCGGTTCCCGGTACCGGAGAAAAAACCAAGAAAAAAAATACATCAGAATTCCTTCTCACCTCAGTCAGAATGGCTATTATCAAGAAAAGAGAAAATGAGTGTTAGCAAGAATGTGGAGGAAAGAACTCTTGCACGTTATTATTGGCAACATAAACTAGTACAGCCACTATGGAAAACAGTATGGAGACTCCTCAAAAAACTAAAACTAGAACTAGCATATATAGTCCAGCTATACTACTCCTGAGTGTTCACTCAAGGGATGAAGTCAGAATACAGAAAAGTCAGAATACAGAATACAGAATACAGAAAAGATTACCTGTGTTTATTGTATTACTGTCAATAATTGTTATGGAATCAGCCTAGGTGCCCATCGGTAAATGAATACAGAAAATGCAGCACATACGCACAATGGAGTATTATTCATCCATAAGGGATAAAATCATGTCACTTGCAGGAAAATGGATGGCACTAAAAGTCACCAGGTAAAGTAAAATAAGCCTGATGCAAAAGGACAAATGTTGCATGTTTTTCTGACACATGGAAACTAAAAAGAAACAAACAAGAAAAAGGAGACCTGAAAGAAGAGAGACTGTCAGAGAAGGAGAAGGGAACCAAAGGGGGAAGGGTCAGGGCGAGAAATGGTACCTGAAAAGGTTGATAAAATCAAAGCAATATGGAAATGTCATAGAGAAATCATTAATTCACACAATTAGTATGGGTTGAGAGTGAAAATTTAAGAAGAGATAAAAAAGATATAATGAATCACTGAGGTTTGTCTAACCCAACAGGACTGGTCACTTCATAAGAAGAGGAGACTGAGACACGAATCACCAAAGGCAGACCATGTGCAGACAGGGAGAAGTGGGTCATCTAGAGCTAAGGAGAAGGTGCCAGAAGGAGCCAACTGTGTACACAGATTGTTCTCAGAGTTCCGATCTCCAGATGTATGAGGACATAAATCTCTGCTGTTTAAGCCACACAGTCTGTGGCACATTGTTAAGACAGCCTCAGCAAATTAACATAATTTTCACTTTTTAATGAAAAAGAAAACAAATTAAAGAGGACAAAAATGATTCCCAATATAAAGGGACCCTCTCCTTCCATGAGCTATTCTGAAATGCTGGAGCAAGTTGGGAACTATATAACCCTCTGTAAACCATACTATCGCATGACTATCTAAATTGCACAGCTGTTATACGCTGCTTATTAATCAAACTGGAAGGCATTGTTTGGAGGCCACTGAGTTCTCCCTCATTGGCGGTGTCTTGACAGTGGCTGGGCAACCACCTCACAGCGACAGCAGGGCTCATTTTTAAGCCTTTATTGGCTTCATGAAGTAGCAAATTTTTAAGATTCCTTCTGACCCTGAGTCATTAATCTCCAAAGGTAGAGTCAATAGCTTCTGTAGTAAAAAGTTAATCCTCCAAGTTACCTAATATTTTTGAATTTCTGATCCAAACCAGGATGTTTTTATTGCAATTCTATCAAATTCTGGGAAAAAACTATTTCAAATTCTAACATCATAGGGTTTCCTCTTGTTGTATTACCCAGACTTCAATTGTCATCTTTATTTTCCCAAAACCTTAAGGTAGGCTAACTGCAAAGTTTTTGAATAAGAACGAAAGAAATAAAAGCACCTTACAGTTTATGCAAATGTGTACCCATTTAAAGCAAGGACCTACACTGTTCTACTTGCAAATGAAAAAATATCAGTTATTTCTAAAGTTGGTATCAACTCTGGTGATTCTGCTATTTTCTTACAGAATAAACATAATTTACCTCTGGTGTAGTTTTGTTTTCAAATTTATATTTTGATTTTAAAAATACATCCTTCTCTGCAACCGTACCACCCAGAACGATCTCATCTGATCTCGGAAAAATATATCCTTAAGAAACATTAAAACATGATACTTTGTTGTCTGCTTTACATTCTGGAATTAGCATTTTCCACTGTCTACAGCAGGACAAATGTTTTCCAACAACAACATGAGACCTGCTCTCCACTGCATGCTGAAGGACACATGTGCCACTCAGCCTATTAAAAGTCCCTTCCAGGGACATTAACTTACCAAAGCAAAAGCACAGCTGTCCTGAAATTGCAAATTGTGTCAGTATAAACCAGATGTGTCTGTTTCCTTCCACATGTGGTTTTCACTTTAATCCTGCCTCACTTGGCACTTTTTACAATATCTGACACAAGATTTTTCCCAGCAGTATCTGTTCAACAGGTGTTTGGCTCAAAATATCCCCAAGTCTTTAACTACTTTACTGTCTTCAAAATCAACCCACACTATTAGATCATGACAGAGTGTACAAAAATGTTCCGCTTACTTTTCCAGCGGTGTTCATCCTGTCTTTCTCCTGGTTTGTGTCTCTGTAAACACGCACTCTTCCTCAGTGATGTCCTTTGGTTCACTATGCTGTAAATAACAGCATCTTCTACCCTCAAATAAATAGTCTGGCACCAGTGTTCTGCCTTCAGCAGTATGATTCACAGGGGTTCCACCCTTTTATGGATAAAGCTGTGAAAACAAATACTGCTATTATAATCAAACCAAAATAGTGACCTACAAAGAATAGGATAATCAAACCTACTAAGATGGCTGAGGGCATTCTTATCCACCTTATTTTTTGGAGGCTAGAAAAACAAATTAGGTTAGTCCAGTTCAACACAATGTATAGAAAATGTCTTGGGTGGTTCTTAAGTGCAAGCTGCCCTGTGAAGCAGCTGACTTTTACATGTATAAATTTCTATTTATGCTCTGCTTCACTGTACATAGCCTTGATGTGGTTTGTGGAAAACGTGCAATTAATTATAAATGAAAGTAAGTCTAAGGAAATGAAAAATAAATTGAAATAGAACATCAAAGTTGAGAGAGGAATATATAGAGTGTAAATATTAATTACTATGGTTTCTAGAAATTTGGGAGATAGAAAATTAAGTAAAACTTGTCCCTGGATATAGAGAAATATGACCCAAGTTACATCATCTACAGAGTTCTCTCCAGTGATTGTGAGTCTGTGCACACAGGGATACCCAGAATAGGTTTGAAAGGGAATTAGCATCCATTCACATATAGGCTCTTAAATTCCAAGGGGTTTCATTTACTTGAGCAAGAGCTCAGCTCTTCTAAAGTAGCTGTTTAATTATTGCAAGTTACTATTTCCTAATATAAGATGCAATGACATCAGAATTTTCTTGGTTTACAAACCACTTTAATAGGACAGTACCCAAGATAGACCTTATTTTTGACAGTAAATGGTGGTTGCACTGACACCTCAACCTCTTTGAGCAAAGGAGATTTTACTCCTTAGAATAATTCAACAAAGCAAGCCTTCTAAGTCTCTGGACCATGGAATCCAGAACATAAAGTGTTACCAACCAAATGAAGAAATTTGCAGGAGTTTAGTTTTCAGAGAACATAAAAGAACAAAACTTTGCATTGAAAAATAGGTACTAACTTTGCCACAAATCTCTCACTGTAATACAGTTAGATACAAATTAAAATATATTTATCCCAAAAGCAGAATTCAAAACTAGGATTAATAATTTTAATTCATTAGCTAAATTAAATTCATGAGTGTAAAGCATTGCCAGTCAGTCAGGTTTAAGGGTCAGTCAGGCTTAAGGACCACTGTTTTAGCAGAGAATGCTGAAGAACCTCAGTGTGTCCTATAGGTGTTCAGAGCTAAGCAGGTGTGTTGGTTGGGGGCTTATTTTGCAAGGGGAACAACATAATACAGCACACATACTTTATATGATTATTTATAAGTCACCCCAAAGAACAGTATACAAAAGGGTGCAGGAAATCTGTCCACACACTAAGACCAAGGAATCCAGCTGAGGGCCTGGATCCCACAACAATGTCCTACATGAGTTGAGCTGAATACCCAGAGCTCATAACAATGCCTCCCACGAATCCAACTGGAAGCCCAGAGCACATGACAACGTCTCATGTAGGCCTGTTTCACAGATCTGCTGGGAAGGCCCAAAGGTCAGTAGTGGAATCTACAAAGTCTGTGCCAGCAGGAAGAAGGACCTGTGCTAGTAGGCTGAGGGATCTGCACTGGATCCAGGAAGTGATGCTTGGAAGAACCAGAGCTCCTCCAAAAGGTACCACAGCCATCGTTGGCAACAGTGAGGTCCCGAGCTCCTCCGATGATCAGGATGGCCGAGTTCCAATCAGGGAAGCCAAGACAGCAAGCTTTTCCAGGAGGCCGGCAGTGCACCATCTTCCCCTCCGGAACCATGCTCAAAGTGAGGACCAGAGCTCTCCAAAGTGAACTGAAGCCATTCTCAGTGCCAGCGAGGTCCCGAGCTCCTCGGAGGATGAAAACCGCCAAGTTCATCAGGAAAGCCAGCTCCCCACGGTCTCTCTCAGCTCCCCACAGCCTCTCTCAGTTCCCAACAGCCTGCCTCTTCTTCTCCAGGTCTGCCTCTTCTGCTGCTGGCAACAGTCCTTAGGTGGGCCTCCCATACCCAGCACCACACTTACTCAGTTCAACTGGGGGTTATAAGTTGACCACCAGTTATCAATCCACTACAGCAGGTATGGACAAGGACAGGCGTTCTAAACCTCAACCTTAAAGCCAGGTAAAACAAACTTTGTCTCAGCAACAAAAACTTGTTTACTTATGAACAAAGGCAAAAGAGTACCAACCTGGGTGGTGTCAGCACAATTGTAAAATTTATAAACTCCCTCTTAGGGACTTGCCAAAGCTTTGTATTACCAGTAATCTAAAATATAAAGTTTCCCAAATTTAACATATCAAGTGAGGCTTAAATCTGAATAAGTCTTAATGGTCCTAATCCATCCATATGAGACCTGACTAGATAGTAAAATGACAAAAGCTGAAATGTGGAATACTACCAATTTGTCTTAAATCATAGTTATATTGACTGTGTATAGTGTGTATGCCTAGTTTTAGGTTTGGGGAACTCACCATATGAATTTTTCTTGTATACTGTACTACAGTCCTTGTGTGAAATTCTGGTGCTAAGACTTGAGTACTGAACCTCCCAATCACTGTGAGCCTGGCTCCATTTCCACAGTTCACAGAGGCCTCTAGTGATAAGGGCTGATCTCAGCATACTCACAGCTCTAATTTGCCAGAGTCTGAATTTAGAGGAACGCAGAACTTTGAGAAGTATGCTATAGGAATACAGATTTTGGAGCTGATGAGCTTATTCAGGGCCTGGACTCTTGCTTAAATATGCACACCCTCCAACTCTACTGGAACAGACAGCATGGGGTCCTCAGGATTCATGGTGAGGCCCATAAACCACCTTACCTGCTTTGTAATCAGTAGCAAATGCTATTGTCATAGCCTGATTCCCACTGGTTGCTTGGATTCTTATGCTTTTGTTGTTTGGACTTTTAAAAATATTTCAAATGTAGCCACTTTGGGCAAAATGTCCTAGAGTCCAGGCAGAGATTATCTGTGGGTTCCTAGAAGCATCCAGAATTTTCCAAATGTTTAGGCACTAAAAATCTTCTGAACCTGAAGGTATCATGAGAAATTCAGGTGGAAACACAGGCAAATATGATCCACATGGGTTGATCTGTGCTGTTGCCCAGCCTTAAAGGAGGCAGACAATCCAGAGATTCCCAGGAGGGTCCCAGGCAAGTGGGGATCAGTCGACCAGCCTATCTTCTGGGGCATTACTCTCATCAGTGGGGTGTGAGGCCTACAGGCTGGCCTTCCTGCTGGTGCTCAGGGATCTTCTCAGAGCCCTGCTCCTCTGCAGGGACACCCTCTGTCACACACCCCATTGGGACTCTGAGCAGCCCTGACTCATGAGGACCACAGGCCACAGGATTCAGAAGAGCTGGGCTTCTGCTCAACCCCAGTTTAAAACAAGACACAAAGTACCGGACCCCACAGGAGAGGAAGCCATGCTCCTGTGGGTTGTTGTGAAACTAAGCGAGGTGATGAGTGTGGCAGTGCTCATTAAACTGCCCAGCACCAAGGACACGGAAATTACAGCACGTCACAGACTTACGGTTAAGAGAGGAAAGAAAAGGGCCCATGCCCGCATGGAAATGGAACCTATTTGCTGCTGAATGATTTTTCAGGGCAGAAATAGTTATGGGGATGTAAGTACTGGGTGTGTGCAGCTATCCCTCATCCAGAATCACAGTGAAAGCCACTGAATTTTGCCTTGCCTTAGCAAACAATGGACTTTGCTGGTGGGGTTATTTTCTAGCCTTTGTTTCCATCATTTTCTCTCTCCAGCCCTGCAAACTCAGGTAATAAACTACAGAGCCAGGTGCAAGCCAGAACTCGCCCTTTCATCCCTTAGCTATGCAAACCCTGCAGGGATGGGTGTGCTGAGGTTGGGCCAGGTCAGGCCTGCAGCTCTGCTCTGAGATGGGAGCTTCTGCCAACCCTCTCCAAGGCTGCCAAGCCAGCTCTAGAATTGCACATGAAATTGTGTTTGGCCGTTTCAAAATTGTCACGCAATATCTATTGTGAACAGTTCTAAAGAAAAGAGAAACTGGGATGGGGGAAAGGAGAAGAGAAGGAAGGGAAAAGTAAAAGTAAAAAATATATAGAAGATAGCTAAGATAATTATACTACTAATTTCTATTAGTTCACTGAAGAGAAAGGTTTGTGCTTATATTGTTTGATCAATTTTTCATGCCTATATCTTATAATCTGAGCAATTACTTTGAAGATAACAATAAGCAATGAACTAACCATTATTACTCTCCTACTACCTTGTTTTGAAATTTTGTACCATTTTTACTGCTTTTTTTCTCTTTAAAAGAAAAAAAATTTGTCACGCAAACCATTCTCAAGAAAAGAATCCAAAGTAGGATTTTCATAACAAGGCAAGAGGGGCTGGGGATCTAGCTCAGCGGCAAAGCGCCTGCTTGGCAAGCGCAAGGTCGTGAGTTCGGTTCCCAGTACCGAAGAAAAACCAAAAAAAAAAAAAAAAAAAGGCAAGGCCTTCACAGCTGCCCACAAAAGTGCTCTGTGTTCTGCCCAGCTCGCCACCTGAGTGTGCTGGCTGGTGAGAGCTGCAACTGAACATGGTTAAGAGTTACAGTAAAAAAAAATGGAGCCCCCCACACACCCATTTTCTCCCTTATAAAAGAGCATAGAAAAGTATTTTCAGCCTCTGGCTGAGGACTTATTGCGCACAGCTCCAAGGCACCAAGGCTGGCAGCTCTTTACCTAAGACTGATTCTGAGGCTGCACCAAACATTGCAGCATCCTAGGGGTCTAGAAGCAGGTGTGCATCATGCCCCTAAGTGCACCACGCGTGCTCACTCTTTATCTGCCCCCAGCATTGCCCTCATGGCTCATATTAGTCAATACGGAGCAAGGTTCCAGGAGTTTAGCACCAGAGGCGCTGGCGACCTTGTCTGCCATGCAGCAGGGTGGGTCAGGTGTGGTGGAAGCTCACCACCCTCTGCCCCACCTGACTCCAGCAGTTTTCCTTGAGCAGTTTCACACTGACAAGCCCCTGTCAGGAAGTCCCTCTGGGTTTCTGTCAGAGAGGGGAAGAGCAGCT